TCAGCTCCCGGCCTTGGTCGATGAGGCCGGGTCGTGGGGGTGAGTGGCCCGACCTGAGGGCGCTGAAAGCTCAGGCCGGCGACGACGACGGCGGTGATATCGGTGGTAACGACGGCCTCAGCAGGCGGGGAAGATGAAAGGGTGAGAACGGGCAGCTGGGCAGGGCCCGCTCCGCGGGTTGCAGGGGCCCGGGCCGGTGTAGCGGGAGAGAGCTGGGAAGGAGGGGAAGGACTCAGAGTGAAGACCGGGAGGAGGGAGATTTTCAGGCTTCTCCCTTCAGTCAGCACCCGGAGGGGGCGGAGGCGAGGCTCGAGCTGTTGGCGGGCTGAAGGGTCAGCGGAGGCAAGATCCGGGGAACCCCGAATTTTGGCCCAAAGGACGAGCGTGGGTTGAGTGGAGACTAGCGGCTCATTGGGGCGACAGAGGAAAGCTGTTGAGAGGCGCCCGGTCCCTCCTACCCGAGAGCGGACGACCGAGCCTCCCCCAGCCCGCCACTCTGGAGTGGAGTGGTCCGGTCGTCCTCTTCTCCAGATCCAGGCTCAACGCCGGCCCTGCCGTCTTTGACACCTTTCAGCGTTATTCCTACTTCGGAGCTGTGCAGAACCTTCTGGAGGGAGAAGAAATTGGAATAAAGAGCATGGGGATGAGTATTAAGAGCTAGTGACTCAACTAGATTTGGGTTGGGTCAGAGAGAGTGGAGGAGGGGGGAGAGCGCGAGCACTGTGCACTTGGGGTGCCAAAATGTTTAAGGAAGTAATGCGGGTCAGTAGGGGGAGCTGTTGCTTCAGTAGTTTGCTATTGCCCCTGAGTGCAGTGAGCCGGGTCCTGGGTAACTGCGCTGCTTGCTCCGGGCCACGTTCATGTTTGGTCTTTGCAGTTTCCCTCTTAGACAAAATTCGAATTCATTTTGGTTTCACTATTTCTATTTGGATAACATGGTTTACCATTAAGTTGTACGCTGTTAAAATATTATTTACATAACGTTGTTTGAAAGTGTTGCCTAAATTAGACGTTGTGGAGCATGCCTTTACAATCCTTCCTTGAGAAGAAAAAAAAAAGATTAGAAATGTTAAAAATTTTCTAAGGGGCCTAGGTGTTTTTTTCCTATCATCCTCAGTCTGGTGAATAATTGTACCTAGATTTTAAGTTAGTGAAATCTTTCTGACTATCCAACAGGATGAAATAAAAGTCTCATTTCCAAAGTAATCCATACTGCTTCAAACCAAGGGTCTAGAAATTATCTCTGTTAGTAATTTTAAGTTTGAGGTCACAGAACAGTTTCCAAGAAAGTCTAATTTGGCTTTGGGTTTGTAACATGTGAGTTTTGTTTTTCTGGTAGACTGCGTTCTTGAGTATGGGTGCTGTTTCTTACTCATTTTTGTGTTCTTACTGCCAACCATTCAATACATATTTGTCATGTTCTGCTAAAGTAATAAAAATGATGCTGAAGAGTTCCCAGTGTTGAAACTGCAGTGGATTTATAAATGAGAACTCCAGGAAATTAGTCTGGCTGTTTAGATTTAAAAAATCCTGCATCTGGCTATTTCCATAGGATGCAGTTTTCTTTCTCATACCTAACTCAGCAACAGAACTGGGGCGAAATCGTGATGTTACTCATAATCTTCAGTTAATATACTCATGAAGCAATTACATTTTTATTTAAAATGAATACTTATGTGTAACTCAATGGAGGCAAATCCCTAGAAATGAGTAATTGCACAAATTTAGAGGAAACTGAGTTACTGTACCTTATGCCGACAAATATGCCTGAGATGTGGAGTATAGTTTCTATCATTTCAACTTGTAAGTCTCTTTAAGGCATTGACCAAATGAAAACAGTATATATAAAATGTTAAGGTCCTTGACTTCCAAAACTAGTATCACCATGCACAATGCAGTTAGTGTTATAGTCCTGACTATTGATTTGGAAAGACCTGTGGAAATCAAACAGAGCTAAAATCACATACTGCAGAACTCCCAACTTTATCTTTAAGCATTTACCTTATTGCCTATTTTCCCTATTATTTTGAAACTTTAAAAAAATACTTATTTCATTATTGTTTGTTTGTAATTTGATCAGAGAGAGAGAGAGGGAGAATGAGAAAGCAAGCCACCTGGGACTCAAACCATGACTGACCATATAGGGAGCCTTTAACCACCACGCCACCTGCTGGCCCCTTGAAACTTTTAACTTATTGTTTTATCTGGTTTTTCTTCATATTTCTACTATTAATATTTTTATTATTATAGTAGTAGTAGGACATTCCATTATACTGGCATGTATTTGCCTTTGTTCCATGATAGGTTTCCAGTTATTAACTATTTTATGTGTTTATAATAATGCACATCTGGAAGTTTGAGATACATTAGAAGATGTTACTCTAAACTGAGAGTTTGCTTGTTTGTGGGCACCAAAAACATTTTAACTTGAATTTGAATTTGTGAATCATAAACTGATTATTTTTATCTGCTGGTCCTCTCAAGGGAAGTTAGTATTCCAGGAAGAAGATAAACCATAGACGGCCATAACCCAGGTGACAATGTATTGATAGTTAATGCAATAGATAGTGAAATTAAACCCATTTACCTTTCAATTGTAGTAAAGATGAAAATTAGCCCTAAAAAAATGTCTTTATCAAGGGGTGAATTCATGTCACTAAAGATGGAAAAGTAGATAGCAATAAAATAAAAATAGAACAACATGGTTTATTAACTGAGATATTAAAAGGAGCTACTTGACCAAGTTACTAAAAAAAAAAAATCAAAATATAAAATTATGAACCCAAAGGTGGCATGATGGTTAATGTGCTGGATCCCAGATGACAAACAGCACAGTCAAGTCCTGGACCCAGTGGCTTGAAAAACATGCCAGACCACAGGTGTGAGCATGTCCAAAATCTCCAGAGGAGATTGGTGTGCTCATTTCTCTCAAGCACACTCGCCCTATGACAAAAATCTTTTTATATGTATATGGGTGTGTGTAAAATTCTGTGGTCAGAAACGAAACTCTTTTAAAGAACTTAGAATAATGATTACCTCTGACAGCATGTTGACTGAAAATGGGCACAAGGGAATCTTCCGAGGTGTTAAAATATTCCTTATCTGTGTGTTGTAAATATTAATGATATAGGTAGATGTATAGTATCTGTTAAAAAATCATTGAGCTGGAGACAGCGGAGGCATAATGGTTATGTCACTGGATTCCCATATGACTGGCCACGGTTTGAATCCCAGACCTGGTGACTTGAAACTCAGGCCAGGCAGATGTGTGCGTGTATGCCCAAGATCCCAAGAGGAGAATGGAGGAGAAGGGACTGCAGCGTGGCCATCCCCTGGGGGTGATTTTTTGCTTTCTGTCTCTCTGTCCCTCTCTCCCTCTTCCTTCTCCCTCTTCCCACTTCCCAGTGAATACACATGCCCTATAGCAAAAAAGAAAAAAACTCTCAAAAAGAATCATTGAGCTGTAAACAAGATTTGTGATTCCCCAATGAAGCTTATATTTTAGTAAACTTTTTATTAAAGATTATATTACTGTGTGGGGCCAGCAGGTGATGGTGTGATTAAGGCACTAGTCTCCCACATGGCCAACCACAGTTCCAGTCCACACCCTGTCAGCTTAAAAATCATGCCAGAAGTAAGTGTGTGTGTGTGTGTGTGTGTGTGTGTGTGTATACCCAAAATCCCAGGAGAAGTGATTGCACTTGATCATGCCCCGTGGCAGGTGAATTCTCACTTTCCCTCTTACTGTCTCTTTGTCTCTCTCCAGTGAGTGCACGCACCATATGGCAAAAAACTTTAAAAAAAAATTATATTGCTATTTAAGTAACATCCTAACTAGTAGTAAAGAGAAATTAAAGAAAAGCAAATTATAAAACTGATTTCAGTATGTAATGACCAGATACGATTATTTCACAAAGCATAAAAGGATCAGCATCTATCTGTAAACAGAATCATTTAATTAAGGTAGTATATCTGCTCCTGGGGCTAGCAGATGACATAGCAGTTATGTCGCTGGACTGCCACATTGCCAACTGGGGTTTGAGTCCAGGACTCCACGGCTTGGAACTCATGCCATGCACAAGGGTTTGTGTGCCCAAGATCTTGGGAGGAGAGTGGAGGAGAAGGGATGTCAGCCTCGCCATCCCCTCTAGGGGGTAATTTGTCACTTTCCCTCTCACTGTCTCTGTCCCTGTCTCTCTCCAGTTCGCAAACGTACCCGAAGGCAAAAACCTCTAGAAACAGTAATAATAAAAAAGTGTATCTGCTACCTATATATTGGGTCATCAGGAAAGTTGTGAAGTTTTTTTTTGTTTTTTAGAGAGTTTTGCTATAGGGCATCTGTGCTCACGGAAATAGAGAGAGACAGAAAGGGAGAAATCATTCACTTGGGGGATGGCCATGCTGCAATCCCTTTTCTTCCATTCTCCTCATGGAATTTTGGGTAAGCACACACACGCACCTGGCGTGAGTTTTTTTTTGGGGGGGGGGCGGAGGGGAAGGTATTTGCTATAAGGTGCATGCGCTCACCAGAAAGGAAGAGACAGAGAGATAAAGTGAGAAATCACCCCCTGGGGGGATGGCCATGCCGCAATCCCTTCTCTATTCTCCTCTCAGGATCTTGGGCACGCACGCACACACGCCTGGCGTGAGTTTAAGCCACCAGGTCTGGGACTTGGTCTGCGGTCGGCTACATGGGAGTTCAGCGACATAGCCATTACACTAACTGCTGTTTCCCGCCAGCGTGAGTTTTAAGTGACCAGGTCTGGGACTCGAACCACGGTCAGCCATGTGGGAGCCCAGTGACGTAACTATTATGTCATCAGCTGGGCCCAAGTTATGATGTATTTTTGCATTGAAAACCAGAAAAATCCGTAATGTCTTTCCTGACAACCTAATAGGTGTGTGCATTGGTGACTCATGGCATGCTGCCATCAGGGGTGTGATTTTTTTTTCTTCCCCAAAATAGTGACCACTCTAGTAAAGCTCTGAAGCAAGAATAATCAAGAACTTCTGGGGCCAGCCCTATTCTTAGTGGTTAATGGAACTGGACCCAATATGGCCCAACCACAGTTCGAATCCCAGTCCCTGGGACTTGAAAAAACTTGGCATGTGCCCCGAATCCTGACAGGATGGAAGGGATT